CAACCCCACAGCAAGAGCTTAAAGGCAGGTTATTCTAGCCAGCCCCTCTTGGTCTGTTCCCTAACTTTTTCCAGCTCATACCTTAGCCTGTTGGACCCTGGAAACTCAAAAACTTACACCAAGTCCAAAATCCAGTCTGCCCAGATAGATTTGTCCAATATCAGCTTTCAACAGAATTTAAATTAGAGGCTGGATCCAGAAAGCCTGAGGAGCTATTGCAGTTCCTGGCTGGGTAATGTCTACATAGAAGAACTTATCTTTCCCTGGCATTGGAACTTTGCCCTGAGGGAACCAATGACTACTGCCAAGTCACAAACTGAATGGAAAAACCTGCAGCAGTCTAGACAGACAACAATTGACAGTGGGACAGACACCAAAAGGTCAGTTGGAACGGGAAAACAATTGTTATAAGAAAAAATAAATAACTTTTTTTTTTTTTTTTCTTTTCAGAGTCGTGCATAATCACTCAATTTTTTTGATTTTTTTTTTTCTTTCTCTTTTTGTTTGGCCACATGCTACTAGTACGATTCTCGGACAAGTGAAAAGAAACAAGGTAGGGTTAGAATACCTAGAAAATGTGCTGAAGGAGTCGGGAAGGTAGGGGATGTTAAGCCACAGGATTACATACAAGAGAAACCGTCAAGAATCACAATGAGAAAATGAGAGGTAACACTTTATCTATCAGAAGGTGAGTTAGGGAGAACAGATGAGAACATTACATGGACTCAGTACTTCAGCTGGCCCGTGCGTCTTCGAGCCAGTTTTGACCTGTGCAAGAAAGAAGTAAAAAAGTATTTGTTGAATTCTGGAAGTTTATTTTTCTTCCCTCCCCACAGTTTGTCCACTTTTTTTTTTAAATCCTTTTTTATCATCTCAGTTTACTCCATATATTTAGAAAACAAAGCGTATCAAGGGCTGTAATGAGAAAGACTTCTCACTTCTCTGCTGTGTTGCTTTATAGGAAGATGGGATCTTTTAAGGACTGCACTGTTAAGAAATTATTTGATGCTGTACAGTAAGAGCTTAGTTTTTAATTATTTTTCTTACTGAACGCAAGAGCTTCTGTAGTGTAGTAAGATCTTTCCAGGAAGCAGGGGATGTCTGCGACCTGTGTTAAAGGGAAGCCTTGATATAATAATTAAAGAGAAGTTCAAAAACAGGAAGAAAATGAGAATTCCTGCTTTAGCTCACAATGAAGAGAATGCAAAGGCAGTCCAGACCCACCTGCAGACAGGCAGTGAGAAGCATTATCGGTTTGTAAAACAGCAACACAAGGAAACCCTTTTGTGGCCTCCAGTCGTGGTACACCTGAAGCACCACAGGTTCAAACTGGATACACCTGCTAAGGATGTCACGAGCCAAAGCCACGGCCGCTGCATGCCCCGAAATACAGGGTTGGTTTGATTTTTTTTTTTTTTTTTTGGTTGCCCACCCTCCTCCCTCCTTCAGTTCCCCCACCAAATTCTTCAGAACAAGATTAAATTCTGTGACAAACTACATCTGCCTCCTTGCTTAGGACTATCTCACTACCTTGATGCTTTGCAGCACTGTCTGCCCGCGAACTGCCTCTTACCGTATTGTGCCAGCAAGGAGAGGGTTGAAGGCGTATAACCAGTCATTCATGTCCTTGTCATTGATGGCCTGGAGCAGGACCCCACGATGCTTTGTGCATACGCCAAACGTGTTGGGTGTCTGGAATATTAAGGACAATTTAAAATACTGAAGTCTACAAGCACAGCAGCTGATGCACACTTTCTCTCTGAGGAGGAGTTTGCTATGTCACATTCCTAAAACCCACAAGACCTAAGGTCTTCCATTTAAGTTTCACTGGTCATTTCCAGGATATCATAGCCAGTCAAATGGGACATCTTCTACAAAATATAGTTTTAACTCCTGAGTGTGGACTCTAAGAGCCGCTGAGACAGACTAGTAAAGTTAATTTGATTCCTTGCAGGATGTTTGTGTATGTTGTTTTATTTGGTTTTTCTTTTTTTTAAACAAAGAAAACACCCACCACCACACAAAGGAAACTCCACAAACCAAATCACAGAGCAAATGGTAGCAACACAGGCCCATAAAAGCAAATAAGATGTGTAACAGCAGTCAGTTTCCGTCTCTTGTATAGCTGTGTCCAAAACATAAGAAACACTGAACAAACTGGGAACTTTGTGGGCAGAATCATCAGATGCCAGACATTCTCTAAGACACAGATGTGTTTTCCTTGGACCAGAGATGACACACAGGGCAGTATGGAGGCACCACTGCCTGTAATGTTCCTGCTCTATGGGCAAATAAAGAATAGCTCTCAGACTGACCTTTACCATTGCCTGTTGATCCTCACTGTATTCCACCTGAGCTGTGGATAAGTTTATGATTCCTCTTTCTACAGGATCTTTGTCACTGTTGTAAATAAAAACGTAGGGACGGCGAACCACCACAAAGTGCTTGGCCCAGGAGCTGGAAAGTGGCTCCTTGAAGTGGAGGTATCCTTTCTTTGAAACCACAGAGCTGAAAAAAACAGATCAAGACAAACCCACAGATACATGGGAGTACATTTTCCCCTAAATACGGCACCCACCGAGTATCCCTATTAACTGCAAAACACTGTCTAAGATGCTTTGTCCTTAGTATGTTTTGTCTGCAAACAGTACTGTGAAAGAGTTCTTCTACAGCGAGCTGAATTTTGTCTTTGAGAACCATGCAAAAGTCTGACAGAAAGAAGGACCCACAAAGATCTCTACTTCAGTGAACTTCAGCCGTGGTTTTGATGATAACAGACATTATATTGAGGTCATGGAAATCCTGTTCGTTAAATAGATGCAGGCAATGAATGCTACAGAGATCCAGTATCAACATGACCTTCATCAGCCCTGCCTCCATCATACAGGACTCTGCAGTGCTGCTACCACCTGTTTAATTGACCTTCCTCAAATGGGGCAAAGAAACTTCAAATCTCAGACAGCCCTTGTGACAGCTCTCAGGAAACCATGGTCACACAACAAGAGGAAATTTACCCTGGTCTGATTTCCTCAATATCAGGAACGAGGTTTAGGAATTCATTCTTTCCAGCTCTGGCAAGATAGGAAGTTTCTACTGCAGGAATTAGCTGGAACTGTTCCACCTCTTGACAGGGACTGGAGGCACGAGAATTTGCTTCTGGTGTCCTTTAAAAAAAAACCACAACAAAACAAACAGAGAAAGAAAAGTAAATCACAACAAACCAACCGAACGTGACAACGGAATTCGAAGTGCATCTACAGCCTGGCCTGTCTTACAAGTTCCATCCTCCAGTCCAGATATTTTTGTATGACATTGAGATCCTTTTGTACAGTATCCAATAACATTTCCCTTGAAATCTGTGGAATAAAACTTATAAGAACTGCTAGTAAGTTGTTTCCCCACTATTTCTCCCTCATTTCTCTTTCCAAACACACAGTCACAGGTTACTATGGTTTGATGTAAAACATACTACTTCATCAACACTCCTCCTCTCAGGGATGGTAAACTGGGAGGGTACAAACTACATGTCTTTCTCTAAGTAGTTACTCCCAATTTAACCAAATATATCTTCTATAGATACAGCTAAGAAAGGTAAACAGAGATTACTGGCCAAACTGGTTTATTCTGGGTTGTTGTTAGAATGTCTTTTTAACAGATCTCTGAAAAAAACTTGTGGACTCTACACACTGAAAAGGCACTGATCACTGGAATGACAAGCATCTGACTGTTCTTTCAGCACAAATGAAACAATTTTAAAAACTCCACTTCCAAAGAACAAAATGGGGAAAAATAATTGTGCAGAGCAATTGGAGAAAACAAGGGGGCTGTACAGAGAAATACCTGAAAGTAGGAAAACGGAAGAAGGGGGGAGAACAAAAAAATGCCAGAAAACGTAGCAAAGACAGATTTGTGAAGCACTGAGAAGTAATGTTTTTCTGTGAACACCCTATACTTACTTCTGATCAATTGAATTGCATCTTGAATCCACCAGAGACGGGCAGGTAGATGAAGGAGTGAGGGTAGCACTGCTGAAACTCGACACTGATGGGTCCCGCCCAATTGGAGAAATATCCGACAACTACAAGGACAAATACAGGCAAAATATTAGAGAGGAGGGTCTTTTGTAGCTAACCTTCAGTCCCCGTTAGACCACGGCATTCAGCATGCGGGAGGCTCAGATAATACAAAGGTATTTCTATCGGCCATTTCCCTACTCAGTAGTCAAATTTTTGCATACGACCATCATAAACTCATCTGGGGATGAAAATGCAATGGCACTTCTGTAGACACAGCTTGTTATTAATAATGTCCTGGACTTCTGATTATTCACACCCTGACTTCCTCAACGGAATATTAGACCATCCAGATTGAAATTTGGTGGCCCCTGTGCCTACAGTCACGAGTTTTTAAAGAGCCAATTTATCCTTTTACATAGGGTAAGTGCATG